GCACAGAATGGTGCAGGAACTCGGTGCTAGTTACTGCTCATTGTTAGCAGAGTTTGTGATTGCTACACGGTTGGCAACTGTGGTCAGCTGGCTGGTGTGAGATTTTCAATTCGAGACAAGTCTGCACACACATTTACAAGTATGTAAGAGTGCAAAGTGCCCCAATGCTTTTGATGTATCTCATTTTAAGGATATGATGGAATAATATAGATTTGCCATAAGATGTCTTGCATGAGCATAAGAGTCTGAAAGCATGAGTGTCAGTGCAGATGTGTGAGAGGTGGCTTCAGTGGTAATGGACTGGTCCTGCAGGATGGAATGTTTATTATCACTGGAGATTTCAACCATGCGAATCATAGGTTAGTGCTTCCTAAATTCCATCAACGTGGACTTTGCGATGAGAGGGGCGAACGCGCTGGATCTTGTTTACACAAACCAGTTCCGCATTTCGGCCGAAGTCCTGCCCCCACCTCGGCTACTCACACCACATAACTGTCATTTTAATTCCAGCATACGGAACACTTGCCAGGAGCTCCAAACTAGTTCTGAAGCAGGTGGAAACCTGGCCAGCAGAGGCCATTTCGGCTCTTCAGCACCGACTGAGACGTGTTCAGGGAGGCTGCGACCCATGGCGACTGCACCGACTAGGAGGATCACACAGCATCACCGACCAGCTACAGTACATCAGCAAGTGCACCTATGATGTTACTATCTCCAACATCATCGCCACACATTCCAACCAGATGCCGTGGATTTGGGAATTGCACCACACAGCGAAACATCGCAAGGTCCTCAGACAGTGATGACAGCTGAGAAGATCATTGAAGTCTCTCTTCCCACTACAAAGTGCATCCGCAAAGCGACCAGCATTGTGGATGACCCACGCACCCCTCACACAAACTATTTAACTCTCACACAAACTCTTTTGTCGTCTGGAGAAAGGTACCCAGCATTCAAGTTTTCACAGCCATATGTGTTACAGTTTCGTCCCTCAAGGGCATTGATCTTGGCGGCTAACACTCTCAACTTCTCTCCCTTGTGGTGCCGCTGACTGCCAAACAGGTGGCGGGTGCTTGTCTCATCTCTGTCACCACTGAATTGTT